AATGTTTAGATTAATCCTGAAAGAAAATTCTTTCCAGTTTAATGGAAAGCACTATCAGTAAGAAACCACAGTACCGCAATGAGCACATACAGCAGTTTCCTTTCCAACATTTTCATGGCCGCATATATTGAAACACAAAGTTTAAGCAAACCGTCTTTAAACCAACTGTTTGAAAATGCTACATAGATGATATTTTTTCCCTATGGGACATAAGTAAACCAGACATGGTAGATTTCTTCAAATTCACGGAACAAGTAAACTTACTTCACCCTACTTCTCTACTGGCTATGAAATTTACGCCCGAAATATGACACTGAGACAATCTTTTTATACCCCGTTGTATACCAAGGCACAACATTCAACGAAAAATGAGAAAAAGCTATCATTGACGTAAAGACGTATATACATTTTCACCTCTTACCACCCACCGAATGTTGAAATGGATTTGACCGATGGATTTGGCCTTGAGTATCCTACGAACAAACTCCTCTGAGGAAGTATTTCATTTTTCAAAAAGCGGTTGATGGACAGAGGCTGGCCACATAATTTTGAAATAAAAATTGCTATTAGAAGTAAAACTCACAGGAGAAAAGCAGCGCTCCTGAAATAAAACAACAAGGAAGAAAAAGAAATATTGCCTTTCGTGACACAATACAAGCCCTTAGTGTCTATTATAAAAGAAACTTTAATGTAAAAGTGTAATCCCATACAAAACCAACCACTACCTTGCCAACTTAACCCTCAGACGTACACGCAAAATCATACCCCCCACCATGGTACAAGAGGATGGTAGATGGAACCCCTCCCCAGAGTTTTTGATATGTTGCAGTATTTTGAAGCGATTTTGCCTTCACTGAAAAGCCTTTGATCTTCTTAACAAGATGAGGTATAATTTATGAATGGTGGCACTGCTGGAGGCCTGTTACGTCACCAACGATGGTCGCCATCTTTGCCGCCATCTTGGATATTACAAAGAATTACAAAACAGGTTAAAACAAAGAGAAATGTTTATTGCTTGACATGAATAATAACACATAAATAAGCACTTTGCATGATTTTAGCTACAAGATTTTTCTTTTATTGTTGAAAAAAGTTGAAAAAAAACATATATTTTCACTCAAAATGGCTTGACAACCTGCTACTTATTACGTCATACCTCGTAACCATAGAAACTGATCATCACTGAACTTTTCTCAAAATGCGTGCGAGGGATAAAAGAACATCTACTGAAAACCTCAGGTGCTGATGTTTTATCCTTTTGGAAAAATCCCAGAAAACCTAAAGGGGGTGGCATCCACCCCCACCCCTTGTATGTCCGAGGGTTAAAGTGTTGTTTCTTTGAGGAAGGAAACTTATGGCAAAGGATAGATGTGCAGCCCGTCACCCCACCCCACTAAGCTGATAATTTAAGTATCCAAAAGGCTGGTGTCCATTAATTAATTAATTACTTTTTACTGTGCCGTGTAATCGACAGGGAAACCAAGTTCGCATTTACAGTAAAACGTTCGGTGATCTTATCAGTACGCATGATATTCATTTGGCAAACAATGGTGAAATAAACGACCACAGGAGCCGATCGGCTCCTGACGATCATGTTGCATAAACAAACAAGAGTTATTGAAGTTTAAGTGGCAATCAAATGATGCATTCTTACAAGTTTTACTCTTTCCCTTGGGATCAAAGTCTTGAAACTTGGTGAAATACATAAAAAATATTAATAATTAACAAGCGTTTTTACTTATTAACTGAGATTTTCGGACAACCAACAAAAATCAAGAAGTTTAACCGACTACCGACAAAGATCAAAAATTTTAACCGACTACCGACAAAGTAACTGAATTTTAACCGACAACCGACAAATGGACCCCCCCATTCAGACCCTCATATATATAGCGCCGCTTAGAATGCATTTCTAGAGATCCAAAAGTAATCTGGATAGCCTAAAAAGTGTTTTCAATGTATTCAATGTACGATTGTATTTTCAATGTCGATCTTGATCTAATGTAGATAGGACCTATCCACATTAGCAGACATACTAGGAATTGTCACATCTAAAGATTAATGGATTAACCACATGTGATTAACAAGATCAACACATTTAATTTTCGCTTATTTAGTCGATTTTGTTCAGTTTTTACCAGGGACAAATTTAGTCTACGGTGCCTGTGAAGATTGTCTCGTCTCAAACAAACTATATTTTGCGGCTAGGCCTAGTATATACAGTACATCTGGGCTGCCCGAGTTGTCATCAATTAGTCACAGACAGATAACGATAACGATTATCTGTCTGTGACTAATTGATGACAACTCGGGCAGCCCAGATGTATGGCTCAAAGGACAAGATTTCTGTGATTATTTATCTTCAGTCACTGAAAAAGAATTAATTTACACAGAAATTTTTTTACTTCGGCTCTTTCGGTCTGTTTCCCCTTCCCTGACAGAAGATTTATTTGCGCATAAGGATTTCAAACGGGCACTGTTTTCAAAATAATATAAACTTGTCGATGAAAATAAAATTGTTATGAGAGACGATTTCTCACCTTGCTGTTTGCACGCGCTCCCCCTGCTTAATGGCGATAACAAAGTCCATCAAATATATAAACAGTTCTAATTTACGAATTTTTTTTTTAGTTAAGCAAATCCAGGTATGAACTACAGATCTCTTTCACTATGAGATAAAAACATACATATAAACCAAACAGTACATAAAATCTTATGAGAAGCAGGAAATTAGTCGGCGCTCAAAGTCGGCTAGCTCGCACGATCGTCTCCGAATCGCGATAAACTTCTTGAAATTGCCTTATGAAGCCAATAGCAAGCATCTAAGGCCACTATGAGATCTTGAAAATTCTCGAAATCGCTCTCTTCAGTAACGTTTTTCGGAAAAGGCAGCAGTGTTTTGATCCCTGGGTTTGATTCATTTCTCTTATGAGGTGCGAACTCGACCGTGTCACGATTGAAATGAGGCACAGTAACAGTTTTACCCATGAACCTTTGTGGGCCGTGACGCGTAATTAAGCGTTCACTGCGAGAGCACGCCCTGGAGCACAACCGCCCACAATACTATTAATAGAAAAGGCCAACTATTCATTAATAACAGGGCCAGTGACTTAAAATGAAATATAATTAATGGCTTAACCACATGTGTTTAACAAGATCAACACATTTAATTTGCGCTTGTCTAGTCGATTTTGTTCAGTTTTTGCCAGGGGCAAATTGCGAACCGCAGACGCATTTCCGCTCGGGAGAGAAGCGACGACCGGAAATGCGTCTGCGGTTCGCAGGCTAACAACAGAACAGATAATAGTTTTATTTAGAGGGGGACGTGTGAGGGCTCCAAAAACCGCAATACCGCACGTGGTAGAGAAAGAAAACCGCAATACCGCATCGAAATTTACCCAAATACCGAAACCGCAGTTACAAATGGTAAAAAAAGTTGCCCTTCTCAAGACTAACATCCCCTTTTAAATAAAAATAACATTTTTATGTCAGTGTTTCAAATCAAGGTGCGTCGATGTTAAGGGTACGATAAACATACGACCATTTCACTCGTTAAAAACGTTAACGTAAATGATATAACAGGCGTTCTCTAGCATTACTTTATTTATGACTGACCTGGATCATAAACTCTGACGGAAAACAGTTGACTCCTATGAGGCTGTCTCCTGTTCACAATTGACTCAGTTCTGTGTTGAAGATTTTCAAAGTCGACCCAGTTGTTGACCAGTGAAAGGGTTGACTACGTTGGGCTGTCTCTGGGATTCGATGGGCACATAGTACACCCAAATACTAGTACATAAGTATAAAATTAAATTCTATACATTCCGTCATGCACAACGAGTAGGACGAGTAGTAATTTTTAGACCACATCATCTTCATAGGTTATCTTTCAGCCTTTTCGTGTAAAAACCTTCGTAACAGACAAAAAGACATTTGTAATATGATAATCATGAAAATTGAGCTGCCAGAATTATTTCATAACCCACTCGCGTGCGTGTAAATTAAACATGCTGACAATGAAATCTTTTAGAATTTATACAGTTGTCATACTTTAAAAAAGGAAGCAGATCACCGCAAGACAACAATTTTTTCACCGATTACCGCGACATTAAATTCAAATTTACCGCATACCGCTTAGACTCTGAAAACAGCAATACCGTACTTTCAAATAAAAATTACCGCAAAACTGCACCAAAAATAACCCAATTTAATAGGTCAATTAAATTGTTAAATAGACTAGAAAGTAGTCGAGGTTCCTTTGACGCGTTGAATAAAGTAAAACAAAGATGTATTACAACAATAGTCTTTGTCGGTTTGTCGGGTTTGTGACATATACTGAACATATGAAAGTTTCACCTACTAAAAAAAAATTAGCCATCGGGGAAAAAAAAAAAGATTTCCACCTTACATGTACAAGAAAAAAATCTTGCATCTCTTAAAAAGCATTTCAGGTGTAGTTCTTTTTATCTACAGGTTGATGATTGGAAGCCCTAAAAATGACAGAGAAAATTATCCAAGAAAATGCTTTTGAGCACAAGAAAAACAAACCAGGGTTAATTTAACCGCACAGGTTAAGCGCTAATCGGCCTTCGAACAACTGGCCCCAGATTGTTATCTAGGGAATCAGGATTGTAAGTTACATAAGTGAACGGTATGTGCTGTACATCTACCTGACCTCTGAATAAACAAGTTTTGGCCTTTACGTTCGAATTATCGGAAACCGAGGGTTTCGTCAACTTACCATCAAAAGAATCAGTTTCAAGAAAGTAATTCAGGTACGTTATCCTTTTTTTTTATTGTGATACTCAGCCTTTGCAGGGTTTTTTAAGACAATTTTCCGAAGTTGAGACGATTGCTCCATGATGAAAGGTTAGTCGTGCATTAATAGCGAAGAAATCTAGCAGAAAATGTGATCAGAGCTTTTGCTGTTTTTATTAAATGTATTGCCTTTTGATTTTCTAGTTCCCGTCGTAGTCGTCTCCGTTGCTTAAGCTTCTAGTAGAGCCACCACGCAAAACAATCCTTGATACGGCAAGTGACGATTTCGTTGAGGAAACCGACGATTTGATGGAAAATGTGCGACGAAAGGTACGTCCGCACCAATACCCATGTCAGTCAGACGCTCAATACTAGAACCATGTACTTACAGTCCTAAAGCAATCGGAGTCCCTATGGTTTTAAATATAATCAGTTATGTTTATATTTCATTTTAATTCACCGGCCCTGTTATTAATTTACAGACAGTCAAATTAACTTTGAATATCGATAAATCATTTTCGAGAGAAATACTATGATAATTGTGGGCGGTTGTGCTCCAGGGCACGCTATCGCTGTGTAACTTGTAAAAAATTGCTTGACAGTGGCAAAACGCCATACAAACCGAATGAGCAATAATAGGGTGTTTTCATTAATCCTGAACGAAAACTTCGCTGTTCCTTATTCCAGTCAAAATGAGAAAAATTATTATTCCAAAGGGCATTATTGACCACCTGATTATTCCATTATTCTAAAGGACAAGATTTCTGTGATTATCTATCTTCAGTCACTGAAAAAGAATTACTTTACACAGAAATTTTTGTACTTCATACTACTTCAAGAAAACCATTGAAGTTTGACCATTTTCTAATCCCCTATACTGCCCCCTCCCCCTCCCAATGTGTCGTTAATGATGTATATTTTGCAAACCCTCCATTCTTACTTTAGGTTATAAAAAAGCCGCAAACCTTTTGACAGCCGCTTTGTTTGTGTGACTCAACATCTAGGATATAAACAAGTTCTGATGTGATTCAGTTTGTTTTTGAAATCAAGTAAAAAGTAATTATAAATGCGAGGTAGTGTTAAACGGAGCGATTCTCACTTAGCCGAAGCTTAATTTTATGTAAGAGATGAATGCATTTAATCGCTTTATTTTGAGTCATTTAAGGCAATGGACTACAAAAGCGTAACGTTCTACTCTTTTATCAGCCGGTTTGCGCCATTTTTAATCATAGTTTTCCTCCTTACTGAAACATGGCGCGCTATTTCTTCGGGCCAAATCTAATTATTAGAATTATTAGAAATAACTACAGTCAAACCTATATCTTTGGGAATGGCTTACTGACCGCTTAATACAGGTTGACTCTTTCATACAAGTTTGACAAACCTATCTAGGACCGGAGTTTATCAAGAAAATCAAGATGGTGACAAAGCGAAATATCCACAACACGGCAACTGTTGAAGGGGTACACAAACTGTTTTACCATTTTTTGTGCCAAAGTGACCGTTGAACAGGTGGAGAAAATAAAAAAATAACTCGTTGGGACCATGAAAAAGGTGACCGGGTCAGTTCTATAGTAATTCCGGGGCTTACGAAAGTGACCGCTTAATGCAGGTCCACTCAACTTAATACACGTTAGATTGTATGTTATGAACTGGGCAAGGAAAGTAAATAAATGTTACCGCTTGCTTACTAGCGATGAAAGATTTCACTTAAAGATTCTAAAATAGATTTATGTACTTTTAACAAATCACCTTATTGAAATGTACGCTTCATCTAAGAAGAAAATTATAACATATCAGTTTTTTAATATGGATAATATATAATCAACAATCTTACCATTTTTACCTACGCTAATAGGGAGGTTACGCAACGACGACGAGGGCGGCTACGAAAAGATCACTTAAAAAGTGAATTTGCACTCCCTCAGACTTAACCTCGTTAAATCCCTCAAATGTTGGCAAATTTTTTTGGAGTTGAATTCTAAAGTGAGGACTGGATCAAAGTTCAGGAAAAGAAAAAGAAAGTTGTCTTCTGTTTCCGTCCTCGACAAAACGTGAAATTAGTGCGTAGTTTCACGTTGGAGTCGTGCAACGACGGCAGAGAAACGTAGAAAACAGCATGATGGACGTGCAAAGTTGTTGTTTTGCTTGTCCAAACCTATTTCGTTTTTGCCGTTCTCCTTGCCCTCGCCGCCGTCGTTGCGTAAACTCCCTAATAAAAAAGTGTGTTCACAGCTCAGTCGCTGAGTTGTCTGAGTTGAGATCTAGAATAGCCGGGCAATATTTTTATATTCTAGATATCTACGTGGTCGAGTGAGCTAGTGATTAACTAAAGGCTATTGTATAAGCAGTTCTCGCTGCTCTTTCGAACTCTTTGAGCAATATTAAAACCTTTCATGCTCCGGATGAAAAGCTGGAAAACAAGTCTACGTTTAATCTAACCACCCGTCCGGGTCATGATCTGTAGTCGTTTTAAACTAAAGCACACTTCCATTTACCTCCCTAAATAGTGAGCCATACGCGTTACAAAGCTTGTTTAAATTTAAAGCGGAATTCATGACAACTCAAGAACGGCTATGCTTATTTAAAGTCTTTTACTTGTTTCATTGACGAAAAATGTTCAGGAACCTATTTAGCTTCTTTTCCCAAATCGTCTACCCCCGTTTCACTGTTTCACTTTATAGGTAATATATTCTACATATTTCAATCGCTTCAATTGTGTCAATAAGGCAGTGAACTGTCTTTTTGAGCTTTTAAACACACTCTATTTCCTGATCCCGGGAATAATAAATTTTTAGACCAGCAGTGACTTTTAATTCTTCTGCAAAACTTTGTAGCTGTAATTGATGGCATACTTTATTCTGCCTTCCAGAATGAAAGAATAAAATTGCTTATAGATAATTGCACCTTAGTTTCTGATATTTCTTCAACATTCACTTTTTGTTTTTTCATTTATTTGTGAGCTCTTTGTTGCAGTGTTTTAACGGCTTGTGCTGAAGCCGCAAGGTATCGTTGTAACGAAGTCACTAATGATTAATTTCAAGATTTTCAGTTAGCTGTTATATAACTTTAGAGCTCACTGTTACCTAAGAGTTGAAATTAAGAAATAGCCAAGTTTGGTTTGGCCTGCGAACCGCAGACGCATTTCCGGGACCGGAAATGCGTCTGCGGTTCGAAGGCTAAGTTTGGTTAGGAAAGGCTCTGGAAAAGTACATGCACACTGTACATCACGTGAACTCATTAGTAAAGAACAAAGATTTGTTTGTCCCTTTTATCCAGACGAACCTGTTAAGATCTAGCCTAACCTGTTTTAATGTGTCAATCAAGGTGTGTATCTAGCCTTAAAATCGATCAACCCTAGCACTGCAGTCAGTTCAGCTTAGTCAGTGACGGAGTGAACCACAACAGCTTAACTGGACTTTTGAGTACGTTTGGACAAAGAAGCAATCAGTTCTTCTCAACATGGCTCTTTCAAAGCAAGTAAGTGAATTTTCCTGACTCCAAGCAATGAATTTGAAGTCTAATCTACTTTGACAATAAGGACTAACCTTTAGCTGTATTTGTAGCACACTCAGACCATGCCACACCCTAACGACAGTTTTCAAAAGTTACTGAAAAGGCTTACTCTCAGTTGACTCAGTTACTGCATAAAAGATAAAGCTGTATAATTTTCTGATGTTCAGTTACTTGCCTAGTCTGCTACACAGCCGTTAAAAACGGCTGTGTAGCAGACTATTACTTGCCTTTCTGTGTCATGGGCGGCTATTGTTGTTGTTTTTTTTGTTTGTATTTTTAAATCTATTTTTGTACTAAACGTAATCAATTGTCTTTCAAGTGGAATTCTGCGAGACAGTTCTTATTTATTTTTAGAGTTTTCCTGAGTTTAAATACATTTTGTGTCAATAACTGTAGACACGATCCAAAATGAAAATTTACAATACAAGCCTTAGTCACTGCAGAACTATTCCAAGAAAAATACCGCGGTAAACTTTAAATGTCCTTGCACAGACAACGAAACTTTCTGTTTGAAATTACGAGAAACACTGGACACAACTGTTGTCTTGTGGTGTGCCTCAGTGAAAGCTTTTATCGAAATTTTCGAAGAAAACAAAAAAACCTTTTCGGATAATTGTTATTACCAAAAGAGGTATTTTTATCGTAAACCACTGACTAAAGTTAGGACAACAAGTACCGAAGAACCCGCGACACTACAAGAGACATAATTGAGGACCTGCGCAGTTCAAGCCTCTACCCCAATATTCACACAATTCTGCACCTTTTGATGACCAGTCACTGATAGGCCTTTCCCGATTGCGCTCGTAAAATCCTAAAAAAGTGCTGGCAAAAATGGCTAAAAACTACTTGGTTTATTGGTGTTGAAGTAAAGCAAGAGACTACTGCACCCCCTCCTAAAAAAAATCCTGGATCCGCCCCTGCAGAGCCTATTCTATCAATGTTTAACCGGAAATATGGGAACGCATTTTTTCTTTTTAGTATTTATTTAATTAAACACCAAAAAAGGTAAAAAGGTAAAAGATCGTTTCATTCACTGCTTTTGCAGTTAATTCATGCGCACTAATTATGCAGCAGTTAATAAAACCGGGTGCGTGGATTGATATTTGCGCGACGTATAGATAATCAAACAAGCAAATTAATAAATGAATAAATGAAAAAATAATGGTTTTTATCATCATTTTCTTGCAAGACTGGGATCCTACCTGAAATGATTACCAAGCTTCACATGGAGGGGGTCGTCAATGGACACTCCTTTGAGGTACAAGGAAATGGAAGTGGTCAGCCTTACGAGTAAGTTCCAGCTAGTTAAATGCAGTAGCCTCTTGTTTAAAACAGATCTCAAACAATAAACCCCAAACCTCCCACGCTTTTTTTAAAGGGACTTTTTCCCTAACACCGAATCATTTCAGCCTTAATCGTGCACGCCTAAAAAAACGCTCAAAGTATACGTATTTTAAATAGGCATCAGGGCTCCTGGCAGACCTAGTCTTCTGGTGCAGGAACAGAACCTAATTACCATGATAGCATGGTTTATTACGAGTAGCAAATTCTGACTTCTACTGGTTATAAACAAGTATACAAGGGGAGGGGGGGGCGTTAGCAAACTAAATATAAAATATGCTAATTTCTAATGCGTAAAAACTCTTTCTTTAAAAAGGGGTGTGCAGAAAATGAAGCTTACAGTCACTAAGGGTGCGCCTTTGCCATTTTCTATTGACATTTTGCTGCCTCAATACATGTATGGAAGCAAGCCATTTATCAAGTATCCTGACAATATCCCAGACTACATCAAGTTGTCATTTCCTGAGGGAATCACATGGGAAAGAACCATGACCTTCGAAGATGGTGCAGTGTGCACTGCCTCAAACGACTCCAGGTAATCGAAACTAAATTTGAATAATTTGAATTATTCAAATAATTGTTAAAACAATTATTGGATGAGTATCATCTGAAGAATTATGAAGATCGAGGGCGGTGTTATCCATCAGCCGAGGCGAAAAGTTCTTTAGGTGATTCGAAAGCCGAATTCAATGATTATTTTATTATTCATTCAAAATAATTCCCAGTTTAAACACAAGCTAAAACATGCTTACCTTCATCAATGCTAAGTTCATCTTTAATTGCCTGTTCATCGGCAAGTTTAGGAGATTAAGGGTTATTCAGTACTGCAAATATTCTCCAAATAGCACATGTCGTCTGTCGAGTTGTCTTCTTGCTGTTCTTGCTATGTTTTTAGCCAGTAGTTCGCCTATTTCTTCCCCGTTAAACGAGTCAGTGAAATGTTCTGCCATTTTGTACTCGGTAAGCACTTGTTTCCATATCTCAAACCTCCCTCTCCCTTTTCACTTACACTTACATGAAATGTCTAAGTTTTTTGACTCAGAGACTTAATTTCTACTCAACAAATGTCGTCAAAGTGCAAGTCTCTTCAAATTTAAAAGAAAAAAAAATTGCGAATCACGAGCAGGAATCGATCCCTGAGTGCTAAATCTGTAATCTCATGCCCTAACCACCAGACCACAGAGAAGTCGTTGCAGGAACTTGGAGTAATTTAACTATACTGTAGCGAAAACCCTAACCCTAAATAAAAGCTAACCGTTAACCCTAATCACTATTCTAAGTGTTTAACCCTAATCAGTATGGTCAGTGCTTAACCTAAATCAGTATTATTAGTGCTTAACCCTAATCACTTTTGTCAGGGCTCACTCATATATGTATACATATATGCAATTACTTTGTGTAGGCATCACAAGGTATCCAAGGGCGGTTTGAGATATGCAAACTACCGTTTACCGTTTTGGTTACCAAAACAACTCGGTTAAATGTTCAGTTTTCTGGCAAGTATGCTGCACAGTTTACGTCATTTTTCACATATCGCAAAATTCTTCCAAATTTGGTGCACAGTAGCTGGTTATGATGAATTATGCCTGAGATTTTAGCCAATCAGAAACGAAGAAATGTTTTGAATGAATAATAACAAAAATTATTGGAACACAACAGTAGATATTACCTATTACCTGATCCACGTTGCTAAGGAGTAGCTAACTAGGGTTGGTTATCAACCCTTGTTCATTATAACTGCAAAAAAAAATTTTCTACCCCTGTCAGACAACAGGTGTAGATGTCCAATACTTCAACCACTGTGAATGAACCAATTATGTTGACGAAAACACTAGGTCTTCTGTCAGTACATAGTGGTGCAGATATATGCAATACATGTGGTCTGGAAATCGTCCAGTACTTTTCACCTCTCAAGACTTGCGAAATAACTTTGAATAAAATGTCTTTTTTATGAAAAGACTCGTTGGCAACTGTTTCATCTACGAAGTCAAGTTTCAAGGTGTAAACTTTCCAAGAGATGGACCTGTTATGCAGAAGAAGACAAAAGGCTGGGAACCGTCTACTGAGAGACTGTATGAGTGGGATGGGTGTCAGAGAGGAGATGTCGACATGGCCTTGAAGTTGGAGGACGGTGGCCATTATACGGTCAACTTCAAAACTACTTACAAGTAAGTTATTTACCCCTGCGCCTTCACAATTGCAATATAAGCAAAGCGAGACATTTTTAAAATTTACTTTTGTCTTAACCCTTCAAGAATGATATCCATAATTTGTCAAGAGACTAGGTTATGAGAACAACAATGGGAAAATGCCTTGATCTTTTACAAGATTCTCTCAACACATTCTTTATGGAAATGTATAGAGATTAGTTTGGAGAATTTGTATGTGGATATTGGGACTTAAAGGGTTAAACTGTAAAACAAATAGCCACTACTACGCAATAGTGCTTTTCGCCTTTCATGATGGCTTGTGATTTTGCACAATCGTGCTTCTCATATTCACGTGGTTTTTTCCGACTCAAACACGTAAAAAACTCAGAATCAGCTCGTACAGCATAATAAACAATAAGACCACAAGGGAAAATAAATGTACAAATGGTTGTTTTAAGTGGTCACTACACAGCATTTCTTCCACAGACCCAAACGTTAGAACCTCGTTGAAAAGCATTTTATAAACAGTACCACAAGAAAGTACTGCTTAGTAGCTTTCAGGTCTTACCATAAGATTTTATCCACAGACTCGAAAGCACGTTCAGTCAGAACGAACCAACTCTGGTACAACATAATAAATAGTACCACAGGAAAGTACGTATATACCGGCCAAGAGGATCCAATTGAATGAAGACATGCACTTTTTAGGATTTCGTCCAAGAACTTAGACGCACGTAGCCATGTCTCAACGTTCCTCAGGGCTGTGCATAATGCACCCGCCCGATAACGCCGTTCTAATACTGAGAAGGGGATTTACGGAGCAAGTTTATAACTAAGATTTAAAACAAGAATAAGAAATAGTAGAAGTAACTCCATACAAGTAGGCTACTCCTGAGCCAAGCTAGTTGAGAGTTTGCCAATTTATTATCGCGATAGCTTTTCATATTGCTCGTCCTAACCAGTATTTGAGAGCATGGACAGGCTAAAATTCTCATAAAGTGCGTTTAATATAACTGTACGAGATTAAAACGACAATGAACCGTTCTGTAAAAATTGAACAGTTTGGCCAAAACAAGGCTTAAATATCCGATTTCCTGATAATCAACACCAAACTACAATTAAAACAAGCGAACAAACATGAAGAGAAAAAGAGAAAACTGATGGAAGAAGAAGCCGGTAAAACATGGGCACCCAACGACAATTTTTGGAAAATATCTGTTCGGAAGACGATTTGAGATCTAGAATTTTCGGAACATTTGTTGTAAAAATTCTTGCCTGCCTGCTTCTCCTAGGATTTGAGAACATCTAAAAATGGTATAATTGCCCATTTTTAAAGACTTTTTTCCTTAGAAAAGTCACGTAGAATTTTCGGGAGCCTTTTTTCTGGCTGAAATTTTCGAAAAGGTAGACTTTCAGCTACGAAATCCGAACAGATGAAAAATTTTGGGGGGGATAAAAATATGCCTATATCTTCCGTTTAAATACTAAAATACGTTCAACAATGCTATGTTTAAGTGGTTTTGAACTATATTCTCGTTGGGTGCCCCTGGTAAAAGAAAAAATAATTGTTGTCTCAGTTTTTATAATGATCCATTCCCGAGACAAGACAAAGGGCAATAACCGAAAATGAACGTGGAAGAGTATTAAGGTAGACGTTTATCAACGAGACAAATTTTGTGGCTTGATTTATTTGCATGGCATTTTGATCGATTGTTAGTCAGCGTCTATTTTCAACCTAACATTAATTGTTTGTTTGTTTTTTGCAGATCAAAGAAGAAAGACTTGAAGGTGCCACCGTATCACTTCGTTGACCACAAACTAGAGCTACTGAGCCACAACATCGTTGGCACCAAAGAAAACTTTGAGCAAAAAGAAACTGCTCATGCACATCTTTCTAGCCTCAACTCCCTTAATCAGTAA